TCCTGAGCTCTAGAGTTTCTTGTATTCTAACTTTGTATCTGATATCTTTTGCGAATCATCCTTCCTGCACTTTTGTTTTAATAAACCTTTTCCTGACTTCTCACTCATGGGGTGACTAATAGTTGCATGACCCCTTTATGGTGCTTTCAGGTCCTACCCAATCAAATATATGGGAAGGGATGGTGCCTTCAAAGAAGAGAACCTGTGTTGGTCGTCCAAAGCAATCTTCAGTTGAAAAGCTTACCAAAGACCTGTATACCATCTTACATGAACAACAGTGTTCATACTGGTCTGGATCTTCTGAAGAGGATTTGCTTCTTGAAAGTGACAAGCCTATGGTCTCTGTTGAGATAGGACACGGAAGTGTGCTAATTCGGCATCCAAGTTCTCTAGGTCGAGAAGAAGAATCAGAAGCCAGCTCTCTATCGGTTGACAACAAACACCACTCTTCGAATGAGGCTTATTCACAATTGACTACTCCACCTGTACATATTAATAAGGGTGTCAATTCATCAAACCTGGTAACTGAGAGAGCTAAGAAGCCTACTGGTCAAGACCAGATTAAAAGGTGCTTTCCTCATTGTAGCTGGATAGCATATAGCCACAAGAAAGGATATAAAATGTTAAAATGCATAACTGTTCTGCTATTGGTAGACGGGGTATGGCTACACAAATAGACTGACATGTGGATCATAAACTTATATTAACATGATATGGTCCATGTGTTCCATGCAGCTTCTCAATTATAGAATGCTCGCGGTGGTTTCAGTTCCATAATTGAATAGTCAGAGCTTTGATACTATTTTTCTTTGTGACGGTGTCTAGTTTCCATCTTTCTGATTTCATCTTGAACTGCAGGAGCAAGGATCAGCTTGAAAAATTGCAGATTCTTGGACATCATAATTCGCCGCTATGCCACATAGACCTTAAGGTATCTTGCTATCTCTTGGATTTCATACAAATAACAACCATAGCATGCTTCCTACAGCGTCCACTTGTCTATACAGATGGAACATTTTTCTATTCCACACTATTTTTCTACATCTCTGGCTCCGGAGTTGGGGATTCTTTTCGTAGATTTACATTTTAATTGTTAGAATCTAAGCATGGCTCTGCAGTTTACTCTTTCCCAGATAAGCAATACACAAATAAATGTGATTTTGGACAATGCTTGATGCAGGATGTACTTAATTATGAAGAATTCATAACGCATCTGTCAAGTGATGAACAACAGCAACTACTAAAGTACTTACCTCCTGTTGATTCTTTTTCACCTCCCGAGAGGTTTGTACAATCTCTTTCTATTTAGGATCTTACGAGAACATTTGACTTTAAAAAAAAAATCAGAAAAGTTGAGGAATGAACTTATCTTTTGAGTGAGAGGCTTATTACTGGAGCTTACATTTTTAATTCGCTCTCTCAATTGTACTAGTTGGGCTTTAGAAAAATAATTGACGGCTATGTTGAACTTGAACCATAACCTACTGATGGTTGATAGAATGAATGCATTGTCCAGCTCTGATCTTATTCCCATTTTTAATTCTCTCTGCAGTCTCAGGAGCATGTTTGAGAGTTCTCAATTTGAGGAGAATTTGTCTTCCTTCCAGAAACTTCTTGCAGAAGGCGTCTTGGATAACTCGTTATCCGGGGTAACAGTAGAAGATTGTAGAACCTTGAAGAGGTTTACTTTGTGCTATTTAATGAAGTCAAAGTGGGTGGAACAATTTAATCTTCTTAAGGTACGGTCTTGCTTATGATTTGTGATATGAAAATTCAGTGAGTAATCCACTCCTTATATGTTACATTTGCTAAACAGAAGTTTAAAGCTAATCTGCTTTTATGTTAGGACATGAAATGTAAAAATAGTAGCAGTAGTTCTGAAGTTGCAGGAGGGCCCAGTGTTATTGGCACAGGTCATTCAGGGAACATGAAGAGACCACGCATTGGGCAACAGCCAAAATATTCAGGTTCTTGGCATCTCTCTTTTTATTTCCTTTATGACAAATCCTGGTGTGGTAGACTTGTTTCTGTTTATAACAGATTTTACCTAAAAATACTTTGAGTTTTTCCGTTCCTGATAGAGTAGTAAGCATTTACTTCTCGGGTCTTTATCTTCATGAAAAAGTTAGAGTAGGGCGTCACGTGGTAACATGTAGAAGTCGTAGAAGCTGCGGAAGGAGGATCAGAAAATCTTGAGCGTGTTAGGTATCTTGGTATCCCTTGGTGTCTGGCTTTGATGCGCTTAGGTGACTGAATTCTCCAACTATTTTATTCTACACAAATGTCTTTTGTCATTTAGCTGTTAAGAACAGAAGATGTACATCATGTACAATGGGCCTATTATCTTCCAAATATACTCAAGAAGCCTGGTTCGTGCATTGTGACTATTAGGAGGAAATACACTAATTGAAAATAAAATCCAATATGAGGGAGTGGTGAAAGAATTAGTCCATTTCAGCATCTCTTTCTATTTCTTCCCATTTCTTTCTTTTTATGCAATTATATTGGGCTCTCCATCCTGGCACATACCTTCTATTTGTAGAAGGCAACTATTTGTGAAAGTCATAACTCTCTATGATTAGGTAGGCATTACACAATTTTCACTAGGAAAATCAGTGTTTGCGGCGACCTTACTCCATCGTCAGTCCTCCGTGCCACCATAAAGGGAAAAATACAAAAAATGGTAATGATAATGGATCGGGTACAGTCTTTTCATGGTACATTACATCATCTGTATCAAGCATTTGTTCTATCTGATATCTTTTTCTTAGACATTTCTGAAGCTAAAGTCTAAACTATGAGCAATTTTTGTTATGGAATGTTATTTTTATACCAATTCCCGCCAACCACTACTAATTTGGGATTGACGTATGGTCGATTGATTACAACAAAAACAACAACAAACCTAGTAAATTCCCACAAGTGGGGTCTGAGGAGGGTAGTGTGTACGCAGGCCTTACCCCTACCCTAGGAGGGCAAAGCGGCTGTTTCCGGTTAGACCCTCGGCTAAAGAAAATATGAAACAAAGCGTATAGTTGATTGGTTGTTTTCAAGAAACTAAAACTACTGTAGCTCCAATTTTGTATAGTGTGTTCGAGTTGCTTTAATTCAGATGGAAATGAACTTATAAGTTGAATTTTGCTTCAGGGGCAAACACAACAATGAAGAGCCCCAAGAGGGTGATGCTGAAAAGCAGTTATGAACAGAAGGAAATAATGGAGAATGATAGCTCTTGCTTCAGTCCAAGAAGCCTATTTGCATTGCCTTCGGAGAATTCCTTCCGTTTTGCAAATGAAAGTTCTGATCAGGACTTGCTGCTGGATGTGCCATCCAACAGCTCCTTCCCTCAGGCAGAACTCCTCCTACCAACAGCAAGTTTCGCAGCTCAAGCAAGCACTAGTAGTAGCTCCGTATACCCACAACTCCTCCGGCCATAGTAACACTATCACACTTAGCTTTCTGTCTGTAGGGCATTTACAAGGTTCTTGGGCCAAACCACATGACTATCTCTGCATGTTCCTTGTCAAATATATAAATGTCTCGCGAAGGGGTTTGGATGGTTGCCTTTTACCTTTTTGCCAGTAACCTTACCTTATATAAAACAAAATTTTGGATTTAGCGGATGGATATGTTTGTTTTCTTAACCTTTTTTGTATAGGTTGTCAAGCATTTGTACAATATAGCTGAAAATGCAGAGGTGGTGATGTCTAAATATAATGTATGCACTAAAGTTTTAACCTCAAATTGAGACCCCCTTCTGTCAGTTTTCTTGGTGAATGAGTTTTTTTCTGTAGGATCATCAAATGTCAAAAGTCTCCTTCCAAACATTTCAAATTCTAATATGTCTGTTTCATTGGCTTGAAGGCTGAATAATAGGGTTACCTTGAGAGAACGACACCACAAATTGTTTCTATAGTATAATGGTATTAGATGGAATTTTTGTATTTCGGCAGTCGCCACCAATAAGATTCCTCTAACTGAGATTAGGCAACGCCAGATCTTATCTTGAAGTTGCTTAAAATTTATGTAATACCTAATCAGTCCCCACCTAATTTCCATCCCATACAGGAAGAGTTAATCCCACCTTTTGGTTATGCAGGCGTAATGCAACATAGAAAACAGCAACAACAATAACAACATATCAAGTGTAGTCCCAAGTGAGTTAGGGAGGGTAGAGTGTACACAAACCTTATCTCTATCTTTAAGAAGGTAGAAAGGTTGTTTCAGGTACTCTCTGCTCAGAAAAGATAAAGAGATGGGGCAATAACAAGCAAATCAATTTGACAACCGAAGCGAAAATACGAAACTAATACTAGGTAATGCAACATAGAAGCATATAACAATAATAATAATGCAGGGATGGGAAGGGGGGTTCTGTAAAAATGTCGTCAAATCATAATGATTCAAGGCCAAATTTGACCAGGCTCATTTAAGACAGAGGTTAGCTTGCACACACCTCAACTATTTCACCAAATACTTGTTACCCTCTTCCAATAGGTATGAGAAACCCCGCCCACCAAAACTGACTATTTCACTGAACTCTTATCTTCTATCAACAAAGGTATGGGTTGGTAGCTCTGCCACCAAGGCTCGTCTACGTTTTTCCGATTCTGTTAGGATTTGAACCTTCATCTTCCCTAGTTTTAATCGTATTCCATTGACTGCTAGGCTAGCACAGCTGTCCTTTCAAGCTATGCAGTGTAGTTGTTGTTTGAATAGCGCAAGTTTATGTTTGAAAGGTTTGTCAACTACAATGATGTAATTCTACAATATGATAATGGTACACAACGTTTTCTTTCGTAAAATAGGATTTTACATGAAAAGAAAATTGTATAAAATGGAATTTAAACAAACATGGAGTGGTCCGAGTAGAAACGGTAACACTTCTGTTCAAATCCATTTTCCTTTAGAGCTAAAATCACTGGTCTACCTCAACTTTACAAAGAGAAAGAAAGAGACGCAATTTGCTAAACCATTTTGATAAGCAACGCCAGTACTTCATAAAAGAAAGGAACAAGTTCTTTAAGTATCTACTTCAAGGTTACCAAATTAATGAATCTGTACAACTAAACCTTCACCTCAAAAAAAGAAAGCAGTACACAACCTCCATCTGCTGGTGATCAAACAATTCAAAGATCTCTTCTTGCATATGGTTGACATACCACCAATCCAGCATTACCTACATCAAATCTACAAGCTTTTAGCCTAACATAAATTTCGCCCGGGATCCAAAATCTCTAAGATTCAGCACTGCCGCAAAGAATCATATTATACATCCATTCAAGCTCTTCATTCCATAATTAACATATTCTTAAAAGCGAAGCACTAGTTTAGACTATCATCAAATGTTTTTCAAATCTTTAGTAAATGGTGAAGTCAACCCGTTAAACGTGTAGCTCCAGCCAAGAAGATTGAGAAAGATTCAACCAATTTGAACTACTAATATCCCAATAGTAATAGTAGCTGAAAGGTATAAAAGTCAGAGCAACCATAACATAGGCTATTACCTTTACACCTATATCCGAACTCTTAAAAACTTTGTACATTAACAAACGCCAAGTCTCACCAAAAGTTGTACTTCCCTGAATATTGAATCAATCAGAAAATCCCTCCGGTGGCCACCATCTAGGCCGAGGAAAACTCAATCCGCGGGCCTTGGCAGTCTCAAAGAAATCAACATTCTTGTCACCACCACTAACATCCCCCACCACCATAGAGAAAGCTTCCACTAGATCCTTAAACTTGGTATTCTTGACTACCCTCCTCCCAACTTCTTCCACCAATCCAACATTCTTGTCTCCTCCTCTCATTGATAATGGCAACTCACGCCTTCCCTCAACACTTCCAACACCACCACCATCACCATGAACTCTTTCTGCAATCCCATTCGAATGCATTTCCTTTGCGCAAACACCATTCAACTTCTCAATCTCATCTAAATTCATACTATCCACACCTCTTCCACCACCATCACCACCGCTAACACCATTCTTCATCCCATTCAAATGCATTTCAACATAGCCAATACCATTCAACTTCTCAACGTCATCTACACCTCTTTCACCATTTTCACGCTTTTCTCCTCTATCCCCCTCCTCGTCATCTCTCTCAGACATTTTCACAGTAGAAGAATCCGCATTTCTTTGAATTCTACGCTCATAAACTTTTACATTTTCCTCACATTCTATCACTACCTCTGTATCAACATCCTGAGTCTGATCAATTTCTATCACAATCTGTCCTCTTTCGTCTTTTCTCCGAACTGAACTCTTCAAATCCAAATCCTCATCAGAAACCCTAATCCTCTTCCGCATTCGCTCTTCAAACCCTAGGTCATCGGAATCATTTCCCAAATCTACAGCCGCCGAGTTATCATTATTAACGGCATCAGTATCATCACCGTTATGTTGAAAATCAACGGCTGCAGTACTCGTACTCGGTTTCAGTTCATCGGAGCCGGAAAAATAGGGCTGAGAGTTGGAGTTGTTGTGCTCCGGCGGGGTTTCGAATTCTTCGTTATCGTGAGGGGAACTTTGGCTAACGGAGTCAGAAGATGGAAGAGATAACATGAGTATTCCAGTGGGCTCTGACGGCGTTAATTTTAACGACGGCGAGGACTCTGGAGAGTTCTCGTACTCATAAATAAGAGGGCAGTTTTGTAATTCTTCCTCAGCAGAGGGACGAGGTTCGCAATACTTGATGATCTGGGCTAATAGGTCTGGGTATTTCACTTCCTTCATTTTTGCAAAAACTCAGTAAGGGGTTTGAGGAAGAAGGAGAGAAGGAGGTGAGAGTGTAAATTGGGAGTGTTTGGGGGTTATTTTAGTATAGGGTTTTATTTAACTGTTAAAATATTCCCGCCTTTGTTCTCAACTCCCGCCTTTCACATCAACGGTCGCTGACTGCTCTAAGACGATGTCGTTTAAGTCCCCGGGGAAAAACATTCTTTTTGGGCTTACTAGAACTTCAATAGGGCATAACTTTTCCAGTTAAAACATATTTTTTGTACATTCCTATTTTTTCTTAGTTCAAATTCGTAACTCTTCCACTCTGCCAACATAAAACAAATTTTTTCTTCCCATACTCGTTGAACAAAGGCAAAATTATGTGTGGCCAAGGGTGATCAACTGAACACCTTTCGGCTTTCGTCGAAAAATTATACTCTGTATAGGAATTTCATAAACCATTACAGTTTAAAGCTTAGTAACTATAATATGTCTAATTACCATCCGTAACTACTATTTAACTGCTCCTAACTTGTATCACTTGTATTCAAACGCGCAACAAGTACAACATGTGTCAATTGTATTCATTCGCGCAAGGAATACAATGTGTATCAGTTGTATTTGTTCGCACAATTGTATTCACTCGTGTAAATACAAGGGTGTATACAAAGGATACACTTGTATCGACTATATACATGGGTATATACAATGGATACAACGTGTATCGACTGTATTTGCTCGCACAACGAATACAACTAAGGCGAAATACAGAAAAATAAAATGTTCTTGTTGAGAGTCTAACTCAAGACCTCCGCAAACTAAGCGAACGCTCTAACCAACTGAGCTAAGAGAGCATCTCTTATTTTAGTTCAAAACAGTAATCTCTTATTTCATGGATTTTCTATAAAAATCAAAGCTACGAATGGTAAATTTGCTGTAAGTATAGCTACGAATGATAAATACAGTGTAAATATTTGATGTGTCGCGTAATTTTTCCGTAAAAAAAAGACTTTGAACACCCTCGCATAGCTCACCTACAAAGGGTTTAATCGAACTCCCTAATTGAATTTTCCGGTTTTGCTACTAGCATTGAACATAACTCTTAATTTTGCGTTTGCATGTAACTAGAGCAATAAAAAATTGCTTTTACATCGACATGCATAGCATTTGTGCTTTCTTTCTCATGTCTATTTTATTTGGAATAAAATCTAAAAAAGTTGAATTAGAGATCTCTCTCCTTCTATGCCATGTTTTCGCCACATAGATAGTGATTTTTTCCCACATAGTTAATAGAATGTAATGAAGAATAAATTGGACAACGTGATAAAAAATCAACTAAAATAAAATATGTAACATTAATTATATTATAGTCGAATAGCGTACTCTTGATAGTTGGCACTGTTATCTTAATCTTAAAAACCAAGACGAAGTAATACATAGTGGTGACTGGTGAGGAAAAGAAGTTCTTGAAATGTTTTGGAAAGTCAAATACAAGACCAAGGCACTTACTCTATGCATATAGTATATTACCTATTTGTCTTAAATTCGTGCAACAATAGTGGGAATAGCCGTGCCCCGTGTGTAAGAATTAAAAATTTAATATTTGAACATTAGTTTATAAAAAGTTTGAGGAACTAATAAATGTCTAAAGAAAATTTAGTATTACTGGGAGTTCAAAAGTAAGAGAGGAAAGTATGATAAAACTAGTTAATTTCACTACTAGAAATTTGGAAAAAAACGACCACAAAAAGCGACCAGTGTTGGTCGCTTATTGGCCAAAAAGCGACCAAAAAGCGACCAAACGTGCCTGGTCGATATTAAGCCGGTCCCTTTACCTTAGGGACCAAAGTTGGTCGCTAATTAGCGACCAACTTTGGTCTCTCAAGTCAAAGGACCAAATATTCCGGTAAAGACACTGGAAACCAACTTTGGTCGCTATATTTTTTAATATTATAAATTTTGCGACCAAAGTTGGTCTCATTTGTGTAAATTTCGTTTTTATTTATTTATTATTAATTATAAAGTAGCGTCCAACTTTGGTCTGTATACGAAATATTATATTTTAAAATCTGGAAAATTGCGACCAAAGTTGGTCGCTATACTATAAATTTTTTAATTATTTTTTTTAAATAAGCGACCAAAGTTGGTCGCTAAATACATGAATTAATTTTTTTTATTTATTAATAAGCGACCAACCCTGGTCGCCATATTTCCAGAAATTGTTAATTTTCTGGTAAATAGCGACCAATCTTGATCGCTTTTTGGGAAATCTGGGTTAAATAGCGACCAACCTTGGTCGCTATTTCACAGAAAATTGTTTTTTTTAATAGAAATGCGACCAAATAGTGACCAAAGTTGGTCGCTTTTCTTGGTATATTGCTGGCAGGAACTGCCTCTTTTGGCAGCTACACCACCTGCTAGCTTACCAAAATTCCTAAATAGATAAATATGCCAACAACAACAACAACAAGCAACAACAACAACAACAATTATAACGAAGAAAGTATAAAGTTCAATAGAACTTTATACTTTAAGCTAATTAGCAAACTAATAAGTTAAATGTTATTACAGAACCATTCGAAAACCGATTGTATTTGTCTAGCATAAACTAATATGTTCAAAGATTGTTCTCTACATCATTATCATCACCGTCTGATGAACTTTCTTCACTATGACGGTATCTAGAATGGGCTATTTGTCGATGATGGGAAGAATGACCATGGGGAGGAATGACCACGGGGAAGGCGAGCCTCTGGCGATGACTCACGAGACCGGGGAATTGGAAAATTACCAGAAGCTAGGAGAGTTTTGATCTGCTCTTGCATGCCCTTGCACTGAGTATCTCTAAGCCTTTCCTTCTCCTTGGCGGCTTCTAGCTCGGATGTGAGCTTTGCCACAGTCTCCCGCATAGAGGAGAGACTCTCCCCATCAAGTTGCTCGGCTTGGGAGGAAGTCCCTATTCCTTGCATTCCACACTTATAGCGATGGAATTTCTTATTAGGAAGCCCGTATACCTTCCCCCCTTTTGGACCGCCAGCAGCCTGCGTCCACATTCTCTCAGCATCCTCGTCCGATAGTTGGATTGGCGCGCCGGACTCATTAGGTGGCTGACTGCGTATGAATTTCTCCACTTCAGCTGTGAAGTGACCCTATAAGAAAAATAATATGTGACTTACTATTTCCAAATTTATATAAAAGTAAATCAAAATTCTTAATGAAAAGTGAAAACTTACATGTACAGTCGAGGCTCGGCCCTCGACCCACATTTCTTGGTCCGTCTCTTTCTTCTTCTTCTTCACAATATGAGTCTCCTTGAAGAGCTCATCTTGGTTCATCGGACGCCCTAACTTTTTTTCCTGAAAACTCATAAATTTTAGTTAATAAACAGAATACATATACTAAGAAAATTAAAATATTTAAGCAATTACGTACCATTCTTCGTTTTATCGTCCCTAGGCTGACCGCACCTCCAGTGTGCAAGGATCCTCCCTTCTCAGATGCCGGGCTTTCTTTCCTTTTTCGCTCTTCTCTAAGAACTCTGCTGTAAGCCATTGTCTTTGCAAATCATCCCATAAATCCTGAAGCATCCAGCCAGGCTTCTGGTTCAACTGCCTAGCTTTGGAGAAACAATGGGACAACCGCTTTCGAGCTTTGAGATGGAAGTTTGCAGCCACTTCCGCGCTATAGCGGTGTTCCCATACACACTTGCTCTGTATTTCAAAAGTCAAGTATTATATGGAAATATCATATTTAGATGGAAATATCATAAAAGTTATATTCGATATATTATACTTAGCTTTTATTAGCTAATAATTATTCAAAAGTTAAGTGCATTAACTACTTATAATATAATATTAGCTAAATGCTAATAAATGATTATACTGCTTAAAAGAATATTTATACCTTAAATTGATTGAAGATTGCCTCCTTGAGAGCGAATGGGAATTCACTCCAAGTCGCATAAGGACCATCATAAAGCTTTCTGGTGGCTTTGGTGATGATCCTTGTAGTAACATTACTAGGGATGAACCTGCAATTTTATTAAAAAAAAACACATTAATATCTTAGTAAAACTGTACTAAACAAAAAAGTTAAAATAACAAATAACTCTTACCCGTCACCCTCAGAGACTATGATGATCCTGCCATATTCATCATAATGCACCTCCTCGTCATTAGCAGCATCATTGTCCGAAGCATGTACATCGGAGGCATGTGTGGAAGGTGTAGGGGTCTCAGAGCTAGTATCTCGCAGGCAAAGGCCTACAATAGATAGAGTCCCAGATGAAGATGGCTGCGAGCCCTGTGAGTGCGACACAGCTGTATGGGCCGCAAGTGGATGAGACACAGATAGTGTGACCCGAGTGGCTGTGACACGGATGGCTGTGATCCATGTGGATGTGACATGGATCGATGCGATCCATGAGCTGCTGATGGATGCGATCTATGTGGATGTGAGACAGGTGGACTGTATGTAGGCCGTACATTCCTATGGCCCTGTGAAGAAAGACCTGGCGTCTGCACGAAGGTGTAGGGCTGGACATGCGCTGGCAGCTCAGAATAGCCCTAGGGTGGAGGCGCAGGCACAGGCATAGGCACAGGCATCTGTGAAGAGGCAGGAACGGATTGAGTAGTACCTTCTACCCTCCTCTTTTGTTTCCTAGGCTTTTCTCTACCCCGAGAACCAGTAGGATCACTGTTACCTCGACCCTTGCCTGACATCTGCATGACATAATACAAAGTTAGATTGAAACATATAAAGAAACTAGCTATAACATGAGTTTTTAAAGTTCCTCGTCCGTGAATTCTTCTTCCTCACTAGTTTGAGCTTCATCAGTTGATTCTTCTTCCTCATTTTCTATAATTCTTACTTCATCCATATCAACTTCTTCCAATATGTGTTCAGGATGTTCCAAATCATTTTCTAAAACTTCGTCCACTATTTGGTGAACACTGGAGATATCGTTTTGATATGCAACATCTAACACATTCTCGACTTCTACCCTACCCACAGGCTTAGTTTTTATTACGACCCACCAATCAGCCTTATTTCGCCGCAATGGATAAGGAGCATAATACACTTGC